CACACACACACACACACACACACATACGTACCCCCGCTGGTACACTACTAGTGCATGGAATACCTGGGGATGTCATTTCTGACTCAGAGGTTGATGACTCAGAGGTTGACGTGTAATGACCCTCCATCCTTCACGGTCGCAAGCTCCTGTTGTATATATTCTGCGATACCTGGCTAGTCCAAGTTTGATATTGTCCTTTCATGTTACTCTTTTTTTTACCCCTGGCTCTCCTGCCCCTCAAACTTCCTTCAAGCACCTCTTTTAATGTGGTCTGATGCCATTTTTAAGTGACCTAAGTATTGTATTTTTCTTTATTTTTTTTGTTAAGCAGGGTTTGTCTTTTGTGGAGATTCTGGAACACCTCTTTGTTCGTCTTTTTTGCTGTCCAGATATTTTTTTGCCATTCTGCGGTGGCTTCACGTCTCAAACGCAGCTATTTTGTTTTCTTCTCTTTTGGTTAAAGTCCAGCTCTCAGCGCCGTGTAGGAATACAGGGAAGATGTAGCAAGCATTCCACTTTTTTCTTTCTTAAAGAGGCTGACTTACGTCCATGTATTCAGACACAAGTGCACAGGTGCCCTTCCATCAACACACAAAGACGCTGAAACACCTTGTACCCCCTCCTTGGAGTCTGTTATGAAAGCTTACTATGTTGACGATGGCCTCACTGCACGTCTCCCACCCTCCACGGTACTCGTCTGACGTTGTTTCCTTATTGAAACTGAGTCATATTCACTCAGAAATATTATTGTCCTGCCACTCCTTCTTTTCTGTGTTCCCCGATTTTGGCGTTCCCCGATTTTGGTGTACACCCCACCCTCCTCACCCCTCAGCATTGTGCTGAAACACTCCGCCTCTCCGAGACAAGTCACAGAAATACAGATTCTATGCGCATGCTCAGAATAATTATTGTCACCTCGTTGCCCACCCTTATATAGATATACACCCATAATCGCACGTACCCACTATTACGTTCACACACAGATTCATATCAATAATTCTCTTTTTCTCTCTTATTTTTTCTGTCTCTCTGCGTCGTCCCCTCCCTCTCTCTCTCCGTCCTCCCTCCTCCCCCCTCTCTCTCTCCCTCTCTCTGTGTCTTTCTGTATCTCTTTGTCTGTCTCTTTTTTTCTCATTCTCTCTTTCCCACACATTTACACACAAACACGCACACACACATACATACAGACACGCATACACACAAACACACTCACATATGTAAATACCCTAATATAGACACAACATTGTATTCCGTTTCTACCGACACCCACAACAGTGCGAAGGAAATGTGTTTTGGCTCGTATTTTTAGTATAGGGGTTGCTGTCTCTCCCCAATCTGTTGCCATTATGGTCATCCGATACGATCAATCCAGCATGTATGCCTTAAGTACTGACCCGTACGGACCTGAATGAATTATCAATAAATCCCATAAGAACCCGCCCAAATAACTCGTCCATGTCCGGATCAATCCTTTATAGATCAGATTCATTTACACTCAGTTAAATCTTCTCTTTTCGGGCGTAATTTAAAATTAGAGGCAAGACCTCCCCCCCCCCCCCCCCCGGGTGTGCGCGCCTCTTGTGTTTTTCTGCGGCAATGTTTGCTGGTTGACACCCAGCCAAGTCGTCTAAATTATATCAATGGGCGCGTAAAACACAGACAAATAGAAGATCGTTCGAATTAGAAATTGCCCGTTTGATTTTTTTTCTCTCCATATTGTGATTGTCAAAGCAGCACGCTTCTTAAAACGATCTAAAT